CCTTGTGCCCATCCATTTCACACTGTAAACTATAATTTCCATTTCACTTCCTATGCAGTCACTACCAGAGTACTGCACTTAGCATGCATCCTGTTGACACAGGAGAAATATTTCTTTTCAAAATTTGTTTAAAGGAAATAGAAAACTGTATAGAAAAGGGGCCTATTTTTCCACAAAAAGAAAGCTAGAGAAAGACCAAGTTCGAGAATAATATACTCTTCTGATCCTCTCCAGATACTTCAGGAGCCTTGAGCTCAAGGAAAAAGTACTGTTCCACCCCATCACCCTGCCCCCTTCCCACCTCCCCACAAAAAAACAGAAGTGTTCCACGCCAGGTTTTAGTCTATTGAGATGGGTTTTTTTTTGGTCTCTGAGAAAATGAAATGCTTATCATGGAAAAAACAAAACCAAACATACCAACCTGTTTTCTAAAAAGGGAGGAAATTTTGTGGGGGATAGGACTCAAAACCTGGACCTGGTTGTAAGGACTGTCTCCTCTCATACCTCCACAATACCAGGAAGACATGTCAAAGTGTGTGGACCTTGGTAACTTTGCACAAGAGACGCTTGGGCTGGATACAAAGTTCTAACCACTTGAGTACTCTGGTTTTGCTACCTTTTGCCTTTCTGGTAAGTACCAATTCCATCTTTTTCTTCCACTCACTCCCAACCCTATGTATTACTCCATGTGACTTGGGCAAGTAATTTTACACCTAAAAATGCTTTCTCATATCTAAAATAAAAATAAGATAATCAATAATCTCTATACCTCTAGTATAATATTCTATCCCAGACTGTCTTAACCTTAGCACTTGAGCTGGCTGTGCAGCATTTTAGCTTCTGTTTGATTCCTTCGATAAATTGTCTAGCACGGACGTTCCCTCATTTCTCCCTCCCACCCACTTTATTATTCTTAAATTAAAAAAAATTAATTTTTAAAATAATGTCTATTCCCAATGTGGGGTTTGAACTCATGACCCCAAGATCAAGAGTTGCATGACTAGGGTGCCTGGGTGGCTCAGTCAGTTAAGTGTCTGCCTCTGGCTCAGGTCATGATGCCAAGGGTCCTGGAATCTAGCCCCGCTTCAAGCTCCCTGCTCAGTGGGGCGCCTGCTACCTCCCTCCCTCTGCCCCTCCCCCAGCCTCTGCACCCACGTACTCTCTTTCTCTAATAAATAATCTGTAAAAAAAGTTTCATCATCTACCAACTGAGAGCCAGCCAGGAGCTCTCTCAGTATCTTTAAAATCAAATCACTATCGTGTTCAAAATCTACAATTGTTCCTTTTGCAATACATCAAGATAATTCCAAAAAAAATTTTTAAATCATCTTTAATTTGGCTCTTTGCTGCATAACACCCCTTTCCCAACTACAGCATATTACATCATCTTCTGTATGACTTCCTCTTTGCGAGGTCTTTTTCAGTCTACCTATTCAACCAAATACCTCTTCCCCACAACTCACCAAATCACTGGCCTTTCACCTATCCATTGTCCTAAAGAAGTTCCTCAGCATGAGTTCAATGGTACCAGGTTCTTCAGTCAGTCTACATTGTACTGTCATATAATTGCTGCCTGTTTATTCTTGTCTCTGCAAATATAGTGGAGGCTTTCAGTTGACAAAAATTTTCTTAAAAATCTATATACTCCCTCAATATCTTTAGACAACATCAAGCACTTGCAAAACTTATCTGCATATTGTATTCTTTTCCTAGTGTAAGCCAAACCTCTTCTATCAATAGCAGTTACAGTAAGCATTTTTTAATTCATTCTGGTGGTTACATTTTTTAAAATGGGTGCATGTAATACCGTGACAAATGTTCTAAGTACCATATTTGTGTTATGAGGCATACTCCTATTTGTGGAATTAAGCCTACAATAATGATTTTAAATGTCATATAAAATGCTAATTTTAATGTCATCATTTACAATATTAAGGGAAAGTAAACATTATATTTAAAATATACAGAAGTATTAGTCACTCACTGCAAGTGTCGTCTTTGGAGTTATTCCCACACTCCTAGTTATTACACAACTGTGTAAGCCACGGTTATTTTGAACTTTACCTCATTCCCAGCCTTCTACAGTTGCAACAGGCTGGTTCCAGACCTACAGCAAATCAAGGACCTACCTAAGATATGGACTGATACTAAGGAGATGTTGAAGAGAGATGGAAAACAATGGAGATGGTGAGCCTTTGCCATCCACAGTATTGACTTCACATTTAACCTATACCTCAGGGTAATGCTCTCCCTGAGAACCAAATGAACTCATCCCTCCACCTGTGGAAGTGGCTGATAAACCTTTAGGGCAGCAGGTTTACCTGTTAGGTTCTTTAATTAGGCAACTATTTCTTTTGTCATAAATTTTACTGAGTACTTGACTAAGAATGATTATCTTCTGGCTAGTACCCTTTAAAGATCAGGAGAAAGCTCAGACAGCCAGCTATGTACCAAAGAACAGACCAACAGCTACCAGTATCACAAAGTTACTTAGCACAAGTATAAACTGCATTATCTTGCAAAAAACTTATATAATAGGAGCCACAAGTACAGGATGCAAGCCTACGAGCAAAGCATTTGTGTGTCTAGAGAAAAACACCATCAAAAAGATCATAGTCGAAATATCAGTAACCTGGAAAATAGGAGAGAGATTTCTCTGGAATCCTCCTTTTGGTAACCTGAAACCATCTGAGCAATACTTCCTAACATAGAGCATTTATCAGGCACTGTGCTAAGCTCCTTAGATGTTATTTAATTTTTACAATAACTCTAAGACACTATTGATGTCCCCATCTCACAAGTCAAAAAAGTGAGGTTAGGCCACAGAAAGCACCTGAGGGTTGGGAAACGGTAGAACCAGGATTTAGATTTGGAACTCCCAGGGGAGCTCGTAGGTGGCTCAGTTGTTTGTGTCTGCCTTCAACTCAGGTCATGATCCCAGGGTCCTGCTCAGTCTGGAGTCTGCTTTTCCCTTTCCCTCTGCCTGCCACTCTGCCTACTTGTGCTCTCCCTAATAAATTAATAAAAATCTTTTAAAAAATAAATCTGGAACTCTCAGACTCAGAAGTGTTTTATTAGCAATCACAGTACAAACCTTGACTATGTTAGTAGTACGCTTAAATTTTGGTTTTGCTTATTATGCTATGCACTATGGATGTTTTAAAATGTGAGGGTTACATGTTGTCTGATAAGGCAAGCTGATTTCCGATGGCTACTAAAAACCATCTTTTAGAAATTGTTGTGTTTAGACGATGAATAATTTTATATTTGTGCATTTGACTAATTTGTCCTGATAAACACAGGAAATCTCAAACTATTAAGAATGAAAACTATGGAGACGCCTGGGTGGCTGAGCGTCTGCCTTCAGCCCAGGGTGTGATCCCGGGGTCCGGGATCGAGTCCCACATCGGGCTCCCTGCGAAGAGCCTGCTTCTCCCTCTGCCTGTGTCTCTGCCTCTCTTTGTGTCTCTCATGAATAAATAAATGGGAATCTTAAAAAGAAAAAAAAAAAAAAGCATTGGAACTATGTATACTTGCCTTCAAAGTTCCTTAAATAGCAGCATGTTTTTTACATAGTAGGTGCCCAAAAGTGGACTGCAGGAGCTCAGTAAAATTGAGGATGAAGTCATATAGTTTTATTGCCAGTTTCTGACATTCTAAATACAGTATGTATTACAAGATAAATATTCTTTGGTTCTATTAAGCTGTCTTTAACACTGTTTTATGCTATCGAAATATTTTAAAGTAGATTTAATAAACGCTTTAAAGACACACCTAAAATTCAAAGCTAGGTAAACACTTCCGAAATTAATCTAAGTTAATTTTCAGGGGAATTGAATTAGACATTTTCTTGTATCTCCATTATTAAAGGTAATTTACCAGATAATGATAGGTCTTCTACTAAATAGTAGAATCAGTTTTACAAAGGTGAAAGGGAATCTGCCATCTTTATCATTTCTGGAAATAAATCTGCTGTTATTTCTTCTGGTAGATCATTATCACACATGCAAGTGGTTTTAGGACATTCGGTCAGGTGTTGGTGGAGTGACACTGCCCTCTGGCGGCCACATTTCACCACAGGCAATAATCCTCTTGGCCCAGCGGGCAAGACTGAAGAGACTGGAATTCAACATCAGGTACCTGTACTTTAGCGCCCATCTTCACATCTCACTGGATTACAGTCTTTGAGGGAGGAATCATGCCTTTCGTATTTTCTTTCTTTCCTGTACTACGTATTTGTTAGTGTCAAAGTGAAAACATGTTCTGAACCCACTCAGCTAAAAAAGAAGTTTTCATTCCTCATCCCTTCTATCTCCTCATACTCCTAATTCTTCTACTTCTGGTCAGGCCTGCATAAAAACTGGCAAATGTAGAAACTGTGGTGAGACCTTGGCAACCTTCTGTTCCCATGACCACATTACCAATTTAAAAATGCAGAAAATAAAATTATGCATTGGTGGCTGATCCTCAATACTGAAAACTAAAAACAGACATGGCGGTAAATTCTTCCAGTGGTTAAACACAATGCAACCAAACGGTTAGAATATCAGAAGGATAAACATGATTACAATGATAATTCTAACAGCTACACTTTAAGGAATGTTTATAAAGTGTTGGGAGTTGTTTTAAGTGCTTTCTGTGCATTATCTTATATAGTCTTCAAAACAACCCTACAAAGTGGTTATAAATCCAATTTTAACAGTAAGAAAACTGAGGTGGAGATGGAGAAAGAGAAATATGACTTGCCTAAAGTTGTTTCTATCAGCAAGTGGAAAAGCTGGGATTTAAAACTGGAATCTACCTGTTTTTCATAGAGAACAAAAAGCAACAAAAACAGTGATATTTATTTTTTGAAAAATACCCATATATACCTAATGAAGATTATTTTAAAACCAGATTTTTAGTGGATTCACCAGTTGCCTAAAAAACCTGGAGAATTAGATTGCATTAGCAGAATTACTGTAATTCTTCATTGGAATACATATACCAAATGAGTCAAATTAATAGATGAAAGAGTTTATTTATCCATTTATGTATCTGCCTTGGTCTAGAAAAGATAAGTGAGGGGGTGTCTTAAAGGGGGATCATAGTAACATTTTGAAAAATATTCAGGATCTTAAATATATTACTCTCCCCAGAAGCTGGCTGCTTCCAAGCTTGACTTAATATTTTGCATGTTTTCTCTCCGTTGTTTTGTAAATATATTTGCTTCTCCTTTTTGCAATCGACGTCTTACAGCTGATTTTTGCTGTTTTGTCAACTGACGTTTCACCTTCTGTTTCACCAATTCCTGGAAAGATTTCATGAATTAGTATTACTGATAACTGACCATTCTGATAAGGAGTAAAATATTCAATACAACAAAGATTTACATTATATTTTTTCAAAATTCTTAAGAGTATTAATTTCTTAAATTCCAAACACTGACAGTACTATATGAAACAGCAATAAAATAAACACCAAACTAATGGTTACAAAATAGACCTTAAATTCCTAACAGAAATACAGATTATAGGAAAAAGGAGTACACAATTCTTTGAATAACACAAATCGCCATAGTGCCACCTAGCGTCCATCAGGAAAACCAAAACCAAAAACCAAAAGCCAAGATCCAACAAGATAAAAAACTGCTTCTCTGCTTTCGAGGTAAAAGTAGACACATCTTCTAGTAGAAAATTATGTTTGAAAGCATTCACAACTGGTCAAAATGTATCCAAGAATGCCTTCATAACTTCAAGTGTACAGATAACCTGATGGCAACAGTTCTATGCAAGAGTTTTTGTATAATTTCTGGGAGATAGGGAATGCTTTCTCAGTATAAATTCAAATTATTTCTTCTTAAGACCTAGGCCACCAATGTCACTTTATAAGATGAATAAAAAATTTGAATATTGTTTCCAATAACCTTTTCTTCATCTGAAGCACTACAGCTGGTTATTTAATTGTACATAACTTGCATCACCCAACATATTTCCTAAAAAAGAAACACTGCAAAGGTTGAAGCAAGGGTCTCTTGTTAATAAGCCCCACCCTATGCAACTTATCTAGAAGCATTTATTAAAAATTGGTCAGGTTAAAAAATTAGTGGATCTCGCAGGGAGCCTGACACGGGACCTGATCCTGGGTCTCCAGGATCAGGCCCGGGCCGAAGGCGGCGCCAAACTGCTGAGTCACCCGGGCTGCCCAGAGGATTATTTTTAACATAATACATGTACATGTAACATACTTAGAACTGTATTTGACACAGAGTAAGCAGTATATAAAAATAAACTTTTATTATTTTGAACTGAAAAAAAAAATAGTGGATCTGAGGTAAAAATGGGCTAGAAGCATTAGTCTGCCTAACACAGTTTCTTGGATTGTATATGTGTACTATAAAACTCTGGACCAGGTAAGTTAGGCAGAGACTCTGCATTATTTAACATAGTTAAGCCGACTACACTCAATTAAATAACAGGCTTTAACGAGTTATCCTTCTTAATTTTAGTCTTAATGATTCTCAATGGGAAGAAAGGTAAGAGAATAGAGGAAGAAAGGAAGACAGGCAATTATCAGCCTTCTCAAAACAACAAAGATAAAAGAGCAATACCTTCAGAATTTGGAGGGGAAATTATTTCCAAACCACAACTCAAATTCCCCATCAAGTATGAGAACAGGAAAAGACATTTTTAGCAATTAAAAGTACTGACTGCCCCATTCACTCATATAATTACCGGAATCTATACTGCCAAATAAAGTAAATCAGGTAAGAGAAAGAGATGGTACTAGGAAAGAAGGTAATCAATAAATAGATGAAAAGTCCCAGGAAATTAACAGGAGAAGATGCACCACATTTAAACAAGAGTAATTAATTCATAGATGCCTCTAGAATATTGGCAAGAAAAAAAAATCAATTTCTTTTCTAAGTGTTCTGCTTGAATTTCCCCTTGGTTCTTCACTTTGATGAGACCATAGGATAATCCTATCAAGCTGAAGTAAGTAAGGAGAGATTGTATTACAATGCAAGTAACTTCTTCTTAATCCATAACACTTTACAATCTTACAAGGTTAAATTTTTTCATGTTAAGAGGGAGAAAAATCGTGTTTAGTATATATTTTTTAAAATGAAGCACAAAAAAGAATAAAAAAATAAAATGATGAAACAAACTACTTGTGTATTATTTCAGGGAGTACATGAAAAAATCAACAAAAGTCATGCATTTTGTTGATTCCATTGTTTTGTTGTTGTTGGCCACATTTACATTTATTAAAAAGGAATATACCTTAATGTTTAATTAGAATTTGTTATATATTAGGAAGAACAGGATTGGTAAATGGCAACTTTGCCAATGGAGAACTATGCAAGTATTTATATGAAGAAAACAGATCTTACAATTACAGTTTCAAAGAAACAAAGAATCTTTTACCAGACACCAAAACAATAATTATCAAGTTAACGGAGGTTACAAAATAAACTGTTTTCTCCTGACCTTTTAACAAAATAAAATGTGACCTCAAGGAAAACAGTGACCAAATTACCAAAAAAATGTAGAGTTAAGATGATCAATTTGTTTCCAATGACAACAGGGAAACCTTTTAGATCAAGCTAGGCTAGATCTTTTTTTCTCTTCGATGGCAAATTTGTATTTTATATTATTATAGGCTTAACTCCATTTTAAACTTTCAGTTCCTGTTAGCTATAAGGCAAATAGGATAAAGTCAAGACCTAAAGACAATGTCATCATTATGTACAGAAGACAGCATAATTTAGAATTTAAGAAAGTAGCATTAATTAGTAATTTAAACTTCTTTATATGCAATTGCCGATTTTACACCACTATAATTATATAAAAGTACTTATGTTTTGAATCTGAGAAAAAAGAAAGAATCTGAGAAATAAGGGATAAATAATACTCTTTATAGAAAATACCAAAGCTAATGGTGGACAGGCAATCAAGAAGTGTGAGAAATTCATTTTTTAAAGATTTATTTATCTGGGGGGGAGGGGCAAAAGGAGAGTTTTTAAATTATTTAAATCCAATAGTTAATTATATATTAATTAATGTTAATTGTACACTACATATTAATGTTAATTATATGTTAATTAAGTGGTAAAAGTCAGTGATTCATCAGTCTTCGATACTACCCAGGGCTTGTTAAATCTCCTCAGGGAGTCTTAAATTCTGGTTGAGCATTAAGTCTGACAAGGGGCTTTCGGGCTTGATCTCAGGACCCTAAGGTCATGCCCCGGGTGGAAACCAAGGTCAGACGCTTAATTGTCCTACCTAAGGAATCCCTAAAGAGTGTGAGAAATTCTTAATAAAAACTGGTTACTTATATTTAAAGTACTTGCATTGCACTTAAAGGGAGACTTATCTTTTAATGTAATTAATAGATGTTTCAAAAATTCCATAGATTTAAGTTTACATCCAGAAAATCAGGTGAATTACAAGGCCAACAAAAAACAGTATATAAAAATCAATACATTTACAGAATTTCACATTTTTATTTTTGCCTGATAAGCTCTAAATGCTTCTATTATCAAGTTCCTAGAATCATTAAAAGTCTACTATATTATAAAATATGATATGTTATTTTTAACTTGTCTTTAATCATTCTCATTTAGTTTTGTACATATCCCATATTACATCCATAGGATATACATTTTAACTTGCTGACAATATATATGAACTTGAAAATCAGAAGTTCATAACTATAAAGTTCTTACTTTTTTCTGAATTCACATTCCGCATTATTTTGTTTCCTTTCTAACTTCTAAATTGATTTTCTTTTGCTCATTTTAGGTGAAGTTATCAGTATAAACTGGTTTCAATGGTATTCAACTGAATGCCCTTAAGCAGAAAGAGAACAACCAATACACCAACAATGTAATGTTATCTCTTTCCTTAAAAACTTCAAAGGAAATAAACTGATACTTCCTATTGGTTACCCTGGAGAGAAGGATGACAGGCAGTAAAGCTCCTGAGGAGCTGGACTATTTGTGTTCACTATCCTGCAAAGAAAATGTCCCTTATGAGATCCTTTTGAACATTCCTGCTAAATGTCTAACAAAAATTTAGGATACCAAAGATTTTTAAATCACGTATTTTTCTCCTTCAAAACTGAAGAACCAGGTAGTGACACTGGTGCATCTTTACACTTCAGCTGTAGGACTGTCACTGGGGAACCCTGAGCAAAGGCACGTAACTATCTGGGCCTCAATTTCCTCACTGTTAAAATGCAGGGACTAGACCATATGGGAGAATCTACATCTGGCCACAGTAGTGACCTAATCATCACTGGAAAATGTTGAATAGTTACCGGAGGAATTGTTGAACAGCTTAAAACACTGCCCACAGATGTAACACTCAGAGTTCTTGTTCTGTACTGTTTAATATCTTCTGTATTTTCTTCATTTCTAAAATTAAAAGAAAATCACAAATTATCCAGTTAATTTTTATAGTTAATTATGGGTAATTTATTTATATTTTCCTACATGATAGTAAAACCTAAAGACATAACAAACAGCCCAAAAAGATCATTATATTGAAAATTTCTGTGAAGGTAAAACTACCCACAATTCAGCCCAATATATTAACACTTCATTTGTCAGCATTCAAGTAGTCACTATCAAAATCGCAAAATAACAGAATGTTTCAGCCACCAAATGTTATCGCTTCTCCCCAATTCATACCTTTCCCACTAATCCTCTCCTCTTATTTCACTGAACTTTACACCTATCTGCCTCTTACATATAAATCCTTGGAATACTTCCCTGCCATTTTTCAAACAACAATAGATGGAACATAGACAGTACTCTTAGTCTATGAAGTCTATTTTACTAAGGCAGAAAAACTGCAATGATGGAAACTAACTTGTTTTACACGTAGTCCAAAGTTTTAATGTATACAAGGTATAACAAACTCAGACAATATTGGCCCCTAACAGTCAACAGTATTCATCAACATGCTATCTTGTTTGTACTCGGAATAATAAAGATTTTGTCCAACAGGTGTTCAAAGAGAACAAATTATTATATGCTAAAACTATTTAACCTGAGTAGATTTTCTTCTATTACTTATAATCCTCAGCCACTGCCACCCGTGACTTTAATTCAGTTTTACAAGTTTATTGAGTGATTATAGCCGAGACTCCAGATAGTTATACAAAAAAGGCAGAAAATTTTTGTGTTTTCCTTCACAGTAAAACTCTGTAAGCCTGAACACGTATCAAGAAATGCCTAATAAATGCACTATTGATTTAATCTTGTAATATTATTATTTTGAAATAAATAAATAAAAGCCCATTTCATTAAATTATAATTGTTTGATTCTGGACAAACTATCCTAAATTAATTTTTTAATCTTTTGCTAATATTAGTATTTGTAAGAAGAAACTCTTATAAGAAAAATAACATAGTAATATTATATAATCTTAACTGTACATAAGTAAGGATATAGGGTTCAAAGTACTAAAGAAAATTCACTATAAGTAGATATTTTATGAAGAAAGTACACTTACTGCATGTTTGTTGGACTATGTATAAATCAAACATATGGGGATCCCCGGGTGGCTCAGTGGTTTAGCGCTGCCTTTAGCCCTGGGCGTGATCCTGGAGTTCCGGGATCGAGTCCCATGGCGGGCTCCCTATATGGACCCTGCTTCTTCCTCTGCCTGTGTCTCTGCCTGCCTCTCTCTCTCTCTCTGTGTCTCTCATGAATAAATAAAATCTTTAAAAAAAAATAAAACATACATCAGATTTAAAATTACAAAAATACATGAGCATTCATCCATCTTCAATTTGATCAATTTATCAACTATTTGTAAATAATTCTTCTAAAGTAATTGAGCTGCATTTTTAAGGCAGAGCTGCTTAAAACTGAAACAAAAGGTTGTCTAGGATCAGGTCTCCTGTAGTGGGTAATGTGAATTTTACCAACAAAGGGTTGATTTCATTTTTTACATATAATGGGGCAGAATGTAGCTCCACTGCATCATTTGGGAACAAACACACCCACTCACTTACCAGACAGGCCTCCATGTTAAAGTAAAAAAAAAAAAAAAAAAAATCAATCAATACCTGAAAGGCATGATTTCTTTGTTTAAGGACAAGGCAATCAGATGAGGGCATGCATCTTCATACTCTTCATTGCCCATGGGCATTCCTCCTTGACTTGCTTTACCATCTTGCCTGGTGTCATTTTTAGTTTTGTTTTTTTCCTCAGAATACTCAGTTATAGAACTGTTGTCAATGACCTGCTCTTCTGTTTCTTCTAAAGCCTGACTGAGTTCAGGTAATTCAAAATTGTGTGCATCAGCACTCTCCTCTGACAAATCATCTTCCTTTATTTGTTCAAGGTCTCCAGATGATACACAACAGTCAGCTGACTCATCTGTAGAGTTTTGATCACTCTGATTTTCTAAACTACAAACATTTGCTTTTTCTGACATCTCTTCATCAGAATGTGAGAATTCAGACTCATATTCTGTTTCAATATTTCTATCAGTTGGACCTACTGGATGAAGTAGTTCATCATCTGCCTGCATTTCCTTTGTGTAGCCACTGGCGGAAACCTCTACATCAAGGGAGTGCTCCCTCCTAGGAAAAAGAGTAACAAGCAATAGGAAAAACCGCAGTTAGAGAAGCTTCAGTTGATACTGATTTAATAAATTAACTTTCAAAAGGGGCCAGAGACAACTTCTTTTAAGTTATGTCAATCATTCCAAATCAGAAAATAGTATCTTAACTAAGTATATAAAATAAGTGGGAAAATTTTGCTTTCAGAATTTACATATGATTATTCCATGAATCAAAATGGCTTCTGTTCTGAATGAAGGAAAAACATAAATCCAATTAACATTTAACTTGCTTCCTTAAAAATTCACATATTAAACTGCACGGAGTAAAAAGTCTGTGAATTTACAAGAAACTATGTATGTTTCCCCCCCCCTAAACTCAGTAACATGCCTTAATAGACCAAAGGCAGGAATTTATCTAGTGTTTAAGCTTCATTTATACATTAGACAGCAATGATACTCAATAGTGATTATAACCTGTCGATGGTCATTATTTGGAAATTTTTTTTAGATTAAACTAACTTAAAACTTTGGAACTAAATAAATCAGGTATTTAAACAGAATTTTATCATTTTAAGCAAACCAGAGTACAAACCTGATATCACTAAAAGTTGGATAAAGCTCACTTTCATAGCTGAAACGCTTCACGAAGAAATCTCTAATACATTTAACATCTCTGTCAAAATACCTGTAAAAGCAAGAATTTTCGATATAATCTTTATTCTTATGCTTTTTTTAAAATTTTTTATTTATTTATGATAGTCACAGAGAGAGAGAGAGGCAGAGACACAGGCAGAGGGAGAAGCAGGCTCCATGCACCGGAAGCCCGATGTGGGATTCGATCCCGGGTCTCCAGGATCGCGCCCTGGGCCAAAGGCAGGCGCCAAACCGCTGAGCCACCCAGGGATCCCTATTCTTATGCTTTTTATTAGGCAATGACAATATCCTTATTGAGACACTCTTAATCATCATTACGAATAAGGAGGTTACTCATAAGAAAAAAACATAAGAAACAAATCAGTTACTAGTGTGTTCGAAAAACTCAAACTAAAAGCAGAGAAACTAACAGGAAATACAAGCTGTCAAAGGCATACAGTATGTCCCTGTAGTTAGAAAATTCGAGGTCTTCCCTTATGTAACAGACATACTAAAAGAAAGTAAAATGTCTATGAATCTCAGAAAATTCGCGATCTGTGGTGTGGAAGCAGGTTTCCACTTTTCCTCTATAGTTTCCAGTCTGTCTGGTTATACTTCTCATCAGCTATACCCACTAGAAACCCAGATGACTCCAAAACCTAAAGATAAAATAGGTTAGTGACACCTTAAAAAAACTTTGGGGATTATTAAATCATGTTTTATTTATACATCTTTATTATCTATTAGCTAATTTGCAAGAAGAGCCAAAAGAGATAAATAATGCTGTGGCTTATAAATCTGAAGACATGTTAATCTGGACCAAGGGTAGAGGACTTGTGAATATCAGGTTGCTTTTTAGGAGACCATAAAGCAGTGAGGACGCATTAAATTCTCTCGGTTTCTAGATAAGGGAGAATTAAAAAACAGGGTGATGTAGAATTGACTACCCACTTGAAATATTAATTAATATTTTAGAGAAAGATGAAGTCCGGAAACAAAGATAATGCCACTCTTCTTTCCTTTTTAGGGCATCCTGGGAAAAACCTCAAATAAATTATTCTAAAATTATCTTTTTTATATATGTCTATGTTTCATCTAAGTAGACAAAAATTTCAAAATCTTCAAAAGCAGAGAGACATCTTTTTATATTTTAATTATTTATTATTTTACACCTTAATTTCTGGTGATTAGCACTTCTTTATCCCAGAACTTGCCCATTAAATCCCAAATTAAATCACACTGTTTCCTTATAGAATAACGCAGCCTACACTTGAAATGTCATGATTTGTCATCGTTTCCTTCACTTCTGGTGGTTCTTGGATGTTCCTTCATCGTGTGACTAGGTTACTCCCTATTAACAAAAATGATGATTAGTCATCATCCAAAGATATATTAACCACTCAAACACCTATTCATCTAGTAATAACTGTTTGGTTGGAAATATTCTTTAAGTTTATATTTAACTGACATTCCTCTTTCTAAAGTACAGACATTTTCTAATGAAAATCAGGAAGAAGAAAATCTTGACTGAATACATATTTGAGCTCCCACTTTCTAAGAATTCATTATCTCTGTTATGTAAGTAATAGTGGTTGTCATCTTCAGGAAAAAGTTCCTCATATATATAAATATATCCTATTTCACAGCTTAGCTAGCTTACATGGTAAGTAATATGAAGAATAAGATTATCACACTATATAAAGTGATTCTGCCCTGTGTCAGGGATGAAGTTTTACATAAATTCTTTTCTAATAATAAAATGAAAGCTAAATTTGACAGGAGAGATATTCTTGGTTTGGCAACTGAATCCACTACAAAATCACCATTTTTATTAAGGCCATCACAATGATCAGGTTATGCTTGGTGAAACAACCATGGAGCAACCACGGAGCAGAGAGAAAAGGGGAAAGGCAGAGAGTATGGGGTGCTAGGGTTCCCTTCTCTATGTCCCTGCTTTTTATGAGCAGGCTTTTATTTGTTTTACAAACTGAGCTTCCACCTAAAAGTTTGAATAAAGGGTCCCAGGGCTAAGAAAGAGGGCTTTTGAAAGTCTGACAGATTACACAAGTTATTGAAATTCTTTTGATGGTTTATAAAGCAGGCGGTTTCCTCAGATTTCCCTTATACAGCATAAACTTAATGACTAGGTTTTAAAAACTGGATCTAAGTGCATTTTTCCACCCTTTAAAACACTGAGTAAGATTCTTAGGAGGGTTATCCTAGTTTGATATCCTTTATTTTTTATTTTTTTAAAGATTTATTTATTTATGAGAGAGAGAGAGAAAGAGAGAGGCAAAGACACAGGAGGAGGGAGAAGCAGGCTCCATGCCGGGAGCCTGACGTGGGACTCGATCCCGGGACTCCAGGACCACGCCCTGGGCCAAAGGCAGGCGTTAAACCACTGAGCCACCCAGGGATCCCCTAGTTTGATATTTTTTAATTAAAAAAAAAAAAAATTAGAGGCGCCTGGGTAGCTCAGTCTGTTAAGTGTCCGACTCTTGATTTGGGCTCAGGTCATCTCAGGGTCCTAGGACTGAGTGCCATGTCAGGCTCTCTGCTCAGCAGAAGTCTGTTCAGGGATTCTCTCCCTCTCCCTCTGCCCCCACCTTTGTGTACCGCATGCGCGTGTGCTAATATGTAAATTAAAAAAAGAAAACCCAAATATTTAGACCATTAACATCAGCTACTTCGAACCAGTTATTGATCTAAATCACAGTATTACAAAGTTGAAAAATTAAGAAAAATATTACATCACACATAAACACACTCATATCCAGAATCACTTTAGCATATACCATTCAGCATTGTGATGAGACGTTGAAACCATCTGTGGAAAATCAATCATGGTGATGTGGTCATCTTTATCTAAAATGAGATTGAATTCATTAAAATCTCCGTGAATCAGTCCATGATTTGCAAGTTTGACAATTAGTTCCATAGCTTCATCATATACTGACGCAGGATCTTCCACATGGTGTATCTGACATCTGAAAGTATGAAAACAGATTATTTGTACTTCTTTATGATTTTCGTGAAAGCAAACATATGTATTATTATTTCCATTCCTTAGTTCCCTAATGGCTTTCTCTTCATTTCTACCAGCACACAAACATGATGTAATAGCTCCCACCTATAAAAAAAAAAAAAAAAAAAAAGCCACATCCTGCCTCAATTCTATATCCTTATTCCACTATATACTTTCTTTGATAATTACAGCCGAACTCCTTTACATGCACTTTCTTCATTTTTTTCCCTTCCATTCTAACAAACTCATTCCAAACACTGTTCCAAAGAAAGAGGTCTGGTCAAAACCACTTATGACTTCCATGTATAAATCCAGGGGTCAATTCACAGACTTCATCATATTTGGTCTGTCAGTTAACCTTGTCACCCTTGCTCAAACACTTCCTTCACTCGACTCTTGGTACACCAGCTCTTCAGGCTGTCCTCTTTCTCCATTCATCATTCCTTCTTAGTCTTTCTCACTAGTTCTTCATCTTTCCCTGACCTTTTAAATTTTGGAGCTCCTCAAAGGTTATTACTAGGAGCATTTATATTTATTTATTTATTTATTTATTTATTTATTTATTTATTTATTTATTTATTTACTTACTTATTTATTGCCTTATTTACAATCATTCTTACTGATCTCATTCAGGCTCAGGTTTTTAAACACCATATATACACAGACCTCAACCTAGACTTCTCTGAATTCCAAGGTATCTCAAACTTAACTATGTCCCACACTGAACCTCTGAATATATTTCACCGTCTAACTCCAAGCTGTTCTTCCTGCAGTCTTTCTCATTTCTGTAAATGACAACTTTGTACCTCCAATTAATTTGTTATTCAGACCCCAACCTTGGTGTTATCCTTGACATTCTCATTCCTTTGTATCAATATCCAACCCCAAACAAATCATATTGGCTCTACCTATAAAACGTGCCAGAATCTGACCACTTTTGGTCACCTTCAAATCTACAACTTTGATCTAAACAACCACCATCTCTTGCCTTGATTATTGCAACAATCTCCTAACTTGTCTTCCTAATTCTGTCATCTCCTTTCAGTCTATTCTCAAAACATTAGCCATAGTAATCCTATTAAAACAGTCACATCATGTCTCTTCCCAGTTCAAAATCCTCCATGGCTTCCTATCCCAACCAAAATATAAAAGCCCTTGTACTAACTACTGCTATGTCGGCAATGACACCGTAACACATAAGTGTATGAAATCAACATGTTGTACGCTTCAAATTTATATGTTAGATGCATTAAAAAATAAAAAATTCCTTGCAATGGCCTACAAACCTTAAATGATCTAGTCCCCTGTTGCCTCTGTGATCTCATCACTTATCATCTCTGCCCTCACTCATCAACTCCAGCCACAGCAGTCTCTTCACTGCTTCCATCCCAGGACCTATGTACTTGATGCCCCCTCTGCCTAGATCGCTTCCATATATGCATGGTTTGTTTCTCTCATTCTTTTAGGACTATACTCCAAAAACACCTCATCAATGAGATTCTTCCCATTTACATAAAATAGCAGCTTCCTCCACCTCCCTCAGTATTTCCTGTCCCCCTTACCTCCTTTATTTTTATCTACTGCATTTTCTACCACCTGATAACCATGTATTTCCTTGTTTAGCTACTTATTGCAAGCCTCTTTCCAACAGAATATAAACTCTATGAAGGCAAGGATTTCGTTTTGGTCGCTGCTGAGCCTAGAATAGTGCTCGATATATACTAGATTGATAATAAATACTTGTTGTATCAGAGAAATTATAAAACCCATACTGTCAGAATGAAACTGAATTTTTAATCTGCATTTGAGACTACAGCTTTGTGGTAATTCCTAATCTCCCAGAGGCAACATTCCATTTAATCAAAATAAATTTAGTTTTGAAAACTAAACCTTACATTTATGTATTAAGTAAGATCCATAGTTTCAAGAGTAATAAATACTTACAGAGGATAGCCATTTACGAGTTCCATGACCACTGCATGGCGGTTATAATCAATTGGTTTTGGGACCGGGAATTTCCGGTCATACAATGCCTAAAACAGAGCAAAGCAGGTATAAACTAATGAAGAGGTCATTAATTTTTAGGGAAAAATAAAAGTAAACATAGCTGCCCACAACCAGAAGAAAAAACACACAAGCCTTTACAAAATTACAGTTAACACATACTTATTTATATATGGTTATTCACAGTACAAAATGAGCTATAAATAAAACAAAACTTTAAACCAGTTTACTTAATTTACTTTTTTTAATCAAACAATCTATTGAGCATTTGCTAAATATTAAACATGGTGCTAGGGTTACAGAAACGAATGTTAAAAAGTCTGTCCCCTAAGAAGCCTACAGTCTCTTAGGAGAGATCTTCTTTTCTTGTTAAGTTTCTGTCATTAATTGGGAGTGTGCTTAAAAATTCACATGGAAATAGACTGTGATTTAGGAAATACTCTTGTCTTCTGGCAGATTAGGAAATGAAGTACCCAGTAGATAAGGCATTTTAGTTTATAGAGCACTGACCACCATAGGGAAGATAAATAACCCTATCAGGTGACAAATATACACACAGTCATAGTCTGAGTCAGATGTCACTTCAGATCACCATTAATGCATCCTTTCCCCATATCCTTTACTTTCTCTGTCCTATTGCTTACAAAGTCTAAATATCTTAGATTTGGAATGCTACCATCTCAAAGTAGGCCTTTATTACTTTTATCTGTTTGCTCCAACAGTGGTTCTAGCTCTTGTCACCATATCTAACCTTTATTCTGTGTATCAATACCAAATTAAAATACTATGTCAATGTTTCATTTAAAAAAATCTACAATGTTTCTAAGTATTGATTTCAGTCTGGAAAACTTTTCCTAGTTTTCAAAACTTTTAGTCCACTTAACCAGTCTTTTTAATAAGTACTCTGGAGGACATTCAGGGCTTATACCCATATTCATGTCTTTGCCCATAGTGACTTCTCTGCAAAGTACACTGTTTTACTATCTTTTCCTTAGAGATAAAGCATATCATATGAATGCTTCATGACTCTACTCAACTCCTACTTGCTTTATGCAACTTCCTTCATCAACTATTCTAGTCCACAGAAGTTTCTCTAAATATAACATATAATTTAATTTTTAAATTGTTCTTCATGGTATATTTGTGTTATATTGCCAATGATAAGACACTGTATTACTTATTCCTTTGGTATCCACATCTTCAGCCCACCATATGCCAGGTACTTTTTCATTGGTAGACATACAACTGATATTCAATATACACTTATTAACAGAGTTAGTTTTTTTTTTTTTTTTAAGATTTTATTTATTTGTTCATGAGAGACAGAGAGGCAGACACATAGGTAGAGGGAGAAGCAGGTTCCTTGCAAGGAGCCTGATGCAGAACGTGATCCCAGAACCCCAGGATCATGACCTGAGCCAAAGATGCTCAACCACTGAGCCACCCAGGTGCCCCCAGGGTTAGTTATATAAAGCTGTCTACTTTCTTTGTTAGAGGAACTGAACTACTTCCCACTCCCCAAACGTTTTTGTTTGGTTTAAAGATGGTTTTTTTCAACCCAAGTACTTTCAAACATGCCTTGGCAGCTCAATAGCATCTAATAACCTTAACTACTGTCATAGTGGTCTAGCCCTTGCACTATGGCTTAATCCTTAAGCTATAGCCCAATCTTATATTACTCTCTCCTAGGAAAAAAGAGAGTAAATGTAAGGAGCATATTTATGCACAACCAGATTCTATTCTAGTACCTTCATATAAACATCTGAAAAAAACACCTAATACAGTTTTGGGAAAATGTGTAACAACCCCCTATCAAACTGCCTACATATTGACTATCATAGGTTACAAACCATCAGTATAAGACCAGAAATACCTGACATGTATGCTATGAGCATCATTTATTTATATTGTCTTAAGAATACTTCCCCTGTGGTTATTAAAAATTTAAGCACATGAATTAAAATAACCTACTTAAAAAACATAAAACTGAACCTCCCAGGAGTTTCACATACTGGGCAAATACTAGAATGACCTTTTTTTTAAAAAAAAAAAAAAATGTATGTATGTATGTGTGTATTACTACTAAACTCAATACCTAACGTGGGACTCAAACTCATAACCCTAAGATCAAGAGTTGCATGCTCTTTCAACTGAGCCAGCCCGGTGCCCCTAGAGGGACTTTTAATAATTCAAAATGTTAAAAAGTGAAGATAAGTAGTAACAAATAAGCATGACTGGAGAATAATAGTAATAGAATATTATTTTCTATTTACTTTAAATGTTATTGAAGATATTTAATTTGGTTATTAAAGCTATTTGACAAATCTATCCTGAACTTAATTGTGAAAGTAAAAGGTTAAAGGCTAACGATTTTTACCGTTCCTAATATGCATGCAGATTTGTAAAATCAACATTCTTCTCCATTACATGAAGGAAAAATGCTAGCTAACTTATTTGAGACACTAAGGTTTCTATAGATAACTACTATAGGTAATTCCCTGAGGTTTTCAATTAGAGACAAATAGATACACGTTCACACACACTTGTGAGGCAAGCATATCATTAATTAAGGCTATCTGTTAGTATTGTAGAATATTATACTACAAGGTCTTATCAATACTGTAGAACACATGTTGCCTTTACACATTAAGAATAATGAAAAATGTCTTCACATAGGAAAAAAAATCACCAGAAAAGCAAATAACAGAAATAATCAACAGTTAAAAGTAAATGAAAGAATTGGGGTTGAGGGTAGAGAGACGTGGGGGCAGCAATCTGAAAAGTGTCACTCCATCTTTTCAGCTACATGTGTTATTTGGTTAAGAAATACAAAATTATTTACCAAATACCTTCATATAGGCAAATTCTTTCATGGCAGAGAGACGAGATAAATAAAGCCAGGACATGTTATGCCTGTGTTTATGATAATCACGCTTGTTTTTCAGATTTCGAAAGGAGGTTCTTCCCAGTCTGTGAAGCTTTAACGCAAACTGCTGTCCTTCTTCATTTGCAACAATGTAAATATCTAGAGCCACCATTTAGAAAAGATCATTATTACACTATCACTCCAAAAAGTTCAAATGTGATTTCCTAATTTTGATTTTATTTGTACTAAATTTTCTTTCCTAATTTTGATTTTATTTGTACTAAATTTTCTTTCTTAATAATCAAGAATACTCACTACTCAGCAAAATTCTCTATTTTAATTACAATCCAAAATAAGATGACATGGATTAATAACTACTACAAAAGAAAACAGGGATGTAGTGTGTCAAAGGTTACTGCTTCCAAAGGTGCTCAATACTCGATTCAATTTAGTGGGAAAAATCTGATCGTCCCTTAGCGTCCTACATGTATGAGAAGTGACTTAACATCTTCCTTTTCAACAACATGAAGTTCAATTCTTAAACTGCTTCAGTAAATAATATTCAGTGGTGAGGATATAATCTTATAGTCATCAGAAAGGAGATCTCATAAGTATTCCAATTTTCAAAAAAAAAGTTGCTTTTTCAAATACTAACATTTAAAACACGTCCTACCATTCATGAAAATTTTTGATTGTTACACATCAAGAAACTTTCACATTGGCAGGATTATAAATCAGTGTCAACTTCTGAAGGGAAATTTGGTACTATCAAAATTTTAAATGAATGTAACTTTTGCACTAATAATTCAATTTTTACGACCGTATTATGAATTTATTTGCACAGACACGTATAAGGGTGTCCACCATGTCATCATTTACTATATAAAATTCTACAACTATGTAAAAGACCTATTTGTTAACATGAAATAATACCAGAAATGCATCAGAGGCACCTGGCTGGCTCAGTCAGTAGAGCACAGGATCTATTTCAGGGTTGTAAGCTGGAGCCCCATGTTGTGTGTAGAGATTACTTAAAAATAAAATCTTAAAAAGAAAGAAATGCATCAAGTGGGAAAAATCAAGGTGTAGAATAATAACTAATGTTTGCTTTCACCTGTGATTAAAAAGATATGTGAATATATATACATATATTACATAGACTATTTCTAGAAGGATATATAAAACATCAACAGTAACAGTTTTGGGAAGTAATAACAGCAGATTGAGAGCTGGGTCAGGAATACTGTACTTTCTTTTGTACTATTTATCACTGCCATGTAGTGAAGTTCTTAAAAACCAAAAAAGCCATTTTTCTAAGTTAAAAAAGTGGACATAAAAAAAGTTAAGAGGTAGCATATCTAAAAAGAGGTCATTACCTCATTATATTTAGCACTCCTGCAATACTTACTTGTTCAATGCTATTTTAGAATACTTTTTTCTATGTTCTACACATACCTAATTTGTCAAATGTCTATGATGGAAAAAAGTGTTTGTGGCCATTAGATATTCACTATCTTCTAATACTTCCTTGTATTACATATTTTAGCTATTACAAATATCCACTTATATATAAAATTTGATCATCTATATTGCTACCAACCAACTTTCTAATTTTAGTTGGAAAAAATGGAAAAATTAAAAGATAATGTTTTCACAAGGGAAAACATAAATAGAAACTACAGCAAAGAAAATGAGTTCAGTAGTACTGTTAGCACTTACCTGATTCTTTCCCAACACCCATCTGGTTTCCAACGGACTCAACTACCTGTCTAGAAGAAAGTGTTTTCAAAGCTAGGTAATCATAGCCTGCATTTGTCAACCGGTAGCCCTGGACAGCTAGACAAAAGAAAATAAAAAAAGGCTGTATTTTACTTATATCCTATAATTAAGTCACATTAGTTCAAGTCATGAGAAAAATTTAAACATAAGAATTCTTAGCTGGAAAGATTAGCTTACCCAGTCTTATGAGTTTGGCATTTCTTCCTACAATTTGTATTTTTTTCTCTAGAGCAGTGTTATTCAAAGTGTGACTCCCAGACTGATACCTCTCTATAAGTATTTGTTACCAGTCTGTGATAAGACACAAACTGAAATGGTTACGTTCAGAAATTTGTATATCACTTTGACCAAGTTATTTATGTCTTCAACTCTAATAAGGAATTTGTGCCTGTATTATATCGATTTTTAAATTCCATTTTCCTAGTAATCATTAACTTATTTATTGTTATTAAATATTAACTTTTTAATTGTTATTTTAGAAAACTATGGATCCACAGTAGGTTGAAAAAAAAAGAAACTCATTCCTCACAACGGTCTGAGAATTAATGCTCTAGAGTCTTGCAGCAGAACGTATTTTCCAAAGAAATTGGCAAAACAATTATCTCTATCCTACGATCTTTTACAAGTTGGAACTTGTTAATCCCCTATCAGGAGATGGAGGCTATTTCTCTACTCTTCTTTGATTTGGGTGGGCCCTGTGAATGCTCTAATAGAACATGGTAAATGAATGCAGTTTTCAGGTCTATGAAGAGTACTCTGCTGGTCTGGAAATTTTAATTTTCCACCTTTCAAAAATGCCTGCTCTGGAAGAAGCCAGTTACATGAAAAAAATCACCAATGGTGCCACAAATACTTACTTTTGGTACGCTCCCAAGCTATGAGTTTATGTTTCACTAATTCTCTTAAAACTTTATTACAGCCACCATGTTTAAGGCTGGCTATAGAAGCAACTAAACTGCAGGGAACTATTTCATGGTTCTTCATGCCCATTTCAACCTGAAATTAAAGGAATCGTATAGTTATAATCAACACAGAGCTATTGTATATCAAATCCTTGCTAAGAAATTTAACCTCTTCAAATTTCTCTGACCATGCAGTTCCCCAACCAATTCTGAGACAGAAGTACTACCTTCTCTGGACGTATTTCTAATCACAATTTGATATATAATCACAGATATTCATAATCTGCTCTCTACTAGACTCTAAATATAAAAAGTGCAAGTTCCTAACAGTTACTGACATGTGGCAAAATACTAAAATATTTATTGTCCTCTAAATATTTATGTTTAAAAACTAGAGGTATTTCAGATATTAAGAAGGTATTTAATGGGGATCCCTGGGTGGCACAGCGGTTTGGCGCCTGCCTTTGGCCCAGGACGCGATCCTGGAGACCCGGGATCGAGTCCCACGTCGGGCTCCCGGTGCATGGAGCCTGCTTCTCCCTCTGCCTGTGTCTCTGCCTCTCTCTCTCTCTCTCTCTGTGACTATCATAAATAAATAAAAAAAAAAAATAAAAAAAAAAGAAGGTATTTAATGAAATGAAAGCACCATATGCAGGCATGATAGAAGATTAAAAAATGTATAAAAAATACTCTCCAGGGATGCTTGGGTGGCTCAGCAGTTGGGTGCCTGCCTTTGGCTCAGGGTGTGATCCCGGAAGTCTCGGGATCGGGTCCCACGTTGGGCTTCCTGTATGGAGCCTGTGTCTCTGCCTCTCTCATGAATTAAAAAATAAATAAATAAAAAATAAAAAATAAAAAAAAAACTCTCCAGGGGGAGAATTTATTACCTAATTGTGGAAATAACCTACACATCTAGCTTTATCAGAAGATAAGCAATAGTAAGTGCTAAAAAGTGCTAAAAGGGCTGAACAAAAATAATTCTAGCTGAGGAAGAAATAGCCCTTGAGATTGACTTTGAGATGCAGGAAAACAGAAAAAGCACACAAGGGAATAGGAGAGAAAGGCAAAAGATCTGAACATGGCACATATGCAAGAAAGCACAAAGCCCAGTAGCAGTTAGTACACTGATAGCTCAGAGGTAAGGGCAAATAGAGTTCATGAAAAGAAGGCTGGAAAACGCTTTTGAGCAAGATATGGAAGGCCCTGAAATGCAGACCAAAGGGTTTTAGATTTCTGAGGAAAGCTGAAAACCTTGAAGGTGTTTATGTAAAAGAGATTTGTGAACAGGGATGTTTTAAGGACATTCATCACAACTCAAAGTTCTGGAAGGTCTTTCAAATTAAGATTTTCCGGACTGAAGTCATAATTAAAGGGGAAAAAATGGTTATTTGAGGCAGGTAAGGATAAAGCTATGAAGTGAATATGATCATTGAGCAAGACAGAATGAAAGACAAAGGAAGGACGACAGACAGAATTTTGGGGGAATTTCACATTAAAATGTAAGGGCAGCCAGCTATAAAGTATGATTACTGATGTAGGAGGCGTCTGAGAAGTAAAGGGAAGACAGTCAAGGAAAGGTGGTCTCTGATACCGAGGATGGTAGGCCTCAACTGAGACTGAAATATTTAATGAGTCATTTGTTGGTGAGCTTCAAAAAATAACTTAAATACTGCAGAGACCGAAGTTTTGGAAGATAAATCCAGCACTGTTTTCATGTCCCGACCAAGATCTCACACCTTAAGTCATTTTGTTAGTCTCTCACATTCTTTCTCACTACACCCGTATTTCTGTCAGAGGCATTGGGGAATAAGTCCATGTGCTGAGAGGGACCTATTTTTCAGAAGTGACAGCAGGCATTTAAAGAAAATACAGCTGGATCAAGCATCTTCCAAATTTCACACTGAATTTGCATGTGATACTTTACTGCCTATTTAATTGAAAGATAATAGCTTCTAAACAAATTTGTTTTATTCTGGAAATGCCTAATCTACGTGTTGTTGATCTTTGTCCCCTAAGACCACGACCATTAAAATCAGTTTTTGAGGAATGCCTGGGTTGCTCAGCAGTTGAGCGGCTGCCTTTGACTCAGGTCATGATCCCGCGGTTCTGGGATCATGTCCTGCATTGGGTTCCCTGCCTGGAGCCTGCATCTCCCTCTGCCTTTGTCTCTGCCTCTCTCTCTGTCTCTCATGAATAAATAAATAAACTCTTTAAAAAAAATTTTTTTAAAGAGTTTATTTGAACAAAAATTCATTCAAAGGCTCTTGGGTGGCTCTGTCGCTTAAGCATTCGCCTTCAGCTCAGGTCATGGCCCCAGGGTCCTGGGATGGAGTCCCGCATCAGGCTCCCTGCATGGAGCCTGCTTCTCCCTCTGCCTGTGTCTCTGCCTGCCTCTCTCTCTGTGTCTCTCATGAATAAATAAATAAAGTCTTTAAAAAAAAGAAATCCGTTTTTGTCACTGGTTAAAACATTCAGCAGTTCCCCTATATGTGGAGTATCTTCTGAATTCTTTACCAAGCTCGCAAGGCTCTGCAGCACACGGGCAGTCTCTCACTTGTCCAATGCCATCTCCAGCCATTAAGTCTCTTGCTCACTATGCTCCAGCCACACTGGCCTTTCCGTTCTTCATAAACTTCCGAGGTCAGAAGCTTTGTACGCAGTACAGCTGTTTCTTTTCTTTTCTTTTTAAATATTTTATTTATTCATGAGAGACAGAGAGAGCCAGAGACACAGGCAGAGTGAGAAGCAGGCTCCATGCAAGGGGCCCGATGTGGGTAGGACTTGATCCTAGGTCCCCAGGATCACGCCCTGGGCCGAAGGCGGTGCTAAACCGCTGAGCCACCCAGGGGAGGGACAGGATCCTCTGTCTCCATCACTTTCCAAGAACTTCACTGGACTGCCTCCTTTTCATCCAGCTCCCATTATTTCCCCATCTCCCCTGCCAGTCTTTCTCTTACTTGGCAAATATTTCTTCAGTATCTACCAAGCGCCAGGGACTTTTTCAAAAGCTCGTAACTCTGGTTACGCACAGTAAATAGGCAAGATCATTTCATTTAGGTAGTCATCCCCTTTTAAAAAAATTTTTAAAAGAATTTTATTTACTTATTCATGAGAGAGAGGTAGAGAGACACAGGCAGAGGGAGAAGCAGGCTCCATTCAGGGAGTCCGACGCCAGACGCGCGACTCGACCCCGGGTCCCCGGGGTCACGCCCTGGGCCGAAGGCGGCCCTAAACCGCTGCCCCACCCGGGATCCCCTCAGCAGCCTTCCCTGACGTCGCCCCGAATCTAAAGATGACATCCATACCCCCCCCACCCTCCACGTGCACGTGGTTTCTATTTTACGGACCTCAGCGCTTATTAGCTGATTGCACCTCATTCCTTTCCCCGTTTACTCGGCCCGTCACCCTCGTCTTGGGCCCCCTGCGAGTTCCCTCACGTCGTCACCAAAAAGCCCAGACAAGTCAGCGCCGCTTAATCACAGTGAATAAATGCTGCGTGAGTGACCGTGTGCGTGAGGACCCCCGGCGTCACCAGTCCTCGGGAGTCTCCGAGCCCCCGTCGGGGGGGGGGCGGGCGGAAGGGCTGGCCCCGAGACGCCGTCCGGGCCGCGGGGACCCAAGGGCGGCCCTGGAGCCCGAGCAGCCGGAGCAGAGAGGAGGGAAACGCCCACGAGAGGGTCCCGGCTCTGCTTCGGGGCGGACGGAAGCTCCCGAGCGACCTGGGCCGCCCGGGTCTCCGAGGCCTACGGCGCGCTCCGTCCTCAGGCGAGAGGCGGGAGCCGGAGAGCGCGCGGCCGGCGGGCGGCCGGGGAGACACGGCGACTCCTTACCGCGGTCAGGACCCTGAAGTCATCCCGGCTCAGGTAACGTAACTTGGCCACGTTCACCTTCCCCATGGCGCCCGAAGACGAAGCCGGGAGCCTCCTCCTCTGCAGCCGCAGACTCGCCTCTGCGGGCGCCTCCCGGGAACCTCCCGCGCGCCTCCCTGCCGCCGGGGCGCTCGCGCATGCGCCGCTGCCCGCTGCAGGTCCTTGGTAATAGAACGCTCCCGCCCCGCGTGGGAAAATCACATGTCCCGTGTGTCTACGCTGCACGCCGCAGGGGACGATGCAGAATTTATATATTTTTTGGATGGCTTTTTTCACCTAAGTGAACGGACTTTAAATCTCTTTCGACCTCTACAACAGCCCGTTTTATTTTTCCTATCTGTCAGGACCCACTTGCCGGAGGAGGAGAGCCGCCTGGATCCGAGCGGAAAGGTAACTTCCCGGGGTCGGCGGCGGGGGAACCAAATTGTATTCCTCGACGGCAACTCCTGCTTCAGGCAAAGTGAGTTCCAACAAGGAAGGGGAGGAGATGAACCCAAAACGTGTCCAGACACACAAGGCGGTTAAAAAGGAAAATAGCAGGAATCAGGCAGGCAGGCCCGCGTTTTTTTTTTTTTTTCTCCTCCACAGCGCCTGCCTCGGAGGGGGGCGTGGCTAACGAGAGCTCTCTCTCCTGCGCGTGCTCAGTGTTGGCTTTAGGGAAGGCGGCGGGCCTCGGGAGTGCGCCTGCGCGGGGCGGGGGGCGGGGCTTGGGCTGCGTGGAAGGCGGGCCCTGGTGGCCGCGTCTCCCGGGCCTTTGCACCGGCCGTGGGCCGTGTTGACGAGTTGGGTCGGGTCCGCGGAGGTTGCTGGTCAGAGGCCACGCCGTGGGGCTTTAGGAGAACTACCCACTCGGGACCTGCAGCCCTTCTCTACGCCCCCAGGAATGGTAACCCAGGCAAGACTAAACAACATGCGCCCCAGGCCGGGGGCGGGGTGGGGGGCTGCGTTACCCTCCCTCCCCTGCAAAAGCAGCGAGGGTGACCAAACTCGCCTGAAGTTTGTGTTTCTATCTCGTTTCATGAATCACATTTTTTTTTTTTTTTAAAGACCGTTACCTGTCTTGTTAGGCCCTCGCGCGTCAGCTGCGGGTGCAACATACGGTCGCGGAGGATTGTGACCTGCAGGAGCCTCGACGGCGTTTCCAGCTTCTTTGTGCGTTGAGTCTCGAACACTCGGAGTGTGAACTTTGGAGTTCAGTATTTAGAGTCCCGTGTTTTTCCTGCTGGGGTTCCGCTGGCCGGGTGTTCAGCCCTCCGACGCCGTACGGAGTGTGTTGCTTTGTGCAAACACAGTTATTAGCCTTTTCATTACCCCCCCCCCCCAGCGCAGTTGGAAGGCAAGCAACTGTATATGCTCTTTCTTTTCCAAGTCAGAATAGTTAATACTCTGAAACCATGGAGTACAGGCAGTAGAACAATCCTCTATCCCATCTACACTGCAGCCTTTGCATTCTTTTTTTTTTTTTTTTTTTTTTTACACGTGAATGCCGTAAGCCTTCCATAGACCATGCTCAACTCATGGTAACCTCCACTAAAATGGAATTTTTCATTCTGTACTTCACGTAAGAAGACATGAAAATGTCAGGTTGGTTGTTTTTTTTTTTTTTTTTAAGATTTTATTTATTTATTAATGAGACCCACAGAGAGAGAGAGGCAGAGACACAGGCAGAGGGAGAAGCAGGCTCCATGCAGGGACCTCGACGTGGACCCGATCCGGGGTCTCCAGGATCACGCCCGGAGCCGAAGGCAGATGCTCAACCTCTAAGCCACCCATGAGTCCCAAATGTTAAGTTTTTGCGGAGCAAGAATGAGATGTGAACCACAAGTTGTTTGGCTGACTATTCCTAATCCAACATTCTAGCAGAGGTTGCTAATCTCTTAAGGCACACATTTTGGGTTACTTTAAACTCTGGCTCCAACCACCGCTAATTGATTGACTTTGGCTACAGTCGCTGTCCTGGTTCTGGAGAATGCCCCGGGGTTGATCACACTGAGCCTCCATCTCTTCTACTTTCGGTATTTGTATGTATTTTTTAATACAATCCTCTTAATCAGGCCCTTGAAGAGGAAAAGTGATTCCAGTACTGTTCAGTATTCTGAATTACTGTGTTATACCATACTTAGTAATGACAAACAAAATAATACACCCTTTTTTTAATTCACTCATTTACTGTTTATCAAATGTATGTGCCAGATTTTTCGCTTCAGTCCTGGGGAAAAAATCCTACCCCTTAAGACTTGAGGTGGAAGGAAATGAAAAAACAAGAGAATAGTTGATAGAGGTATGCAAAGGATTTAGGACATCATTTTTACCTATTCCCAGACCCCTATCTCTCTCTCTCTCTCTCTCTCTCTCTCTCTCTCTCTCTCACACACACACACACACACACACACACAGTTCTCACAAGTTGCAGAGGATCTTGATTCTATAGATGAAAGTTCAAACTTCTTGGGTTAGATTAAATTTAGGCTAGCATTCAGGATCTTCAACAATCTGTATCATTGCTTACTTTTTTTCCCTTGTATATATATATATTTCTTTATTGGAGTTTGATTTGCCAACATATAGTATAACACCCAGTGCTCATCCCATCAAACGCCCCTCTCAGTGGGCACCCAGTCACCCCACGCCCCCACCTGCTTCCCCTTCCACTACCCCTTGTTCATTCCCCAGAGTTAGGAGTCTCTCGTGTTTTGTCACCCTCTCTGATTTTTCCCACTCATTTTCTCTCCTTTCCCCTATGATCCTTTTTACTATTTTTTATATTCCCTGTTTGAGTGAAACCGTATAATGATTGTCCTCCGAATGAGTTGCTTCACTGAGCATAATACTCTCCAGTTCCGTCCACGTCGAAGCAATTGGTAGGTATTCGTCCTTTCTGATGGTTGAGTAACATTCCATTGTATCCATAGACCACATCTTTATCCATTCATTTGTTGAAAGACACCAGAGCTCCTTCCACGATTTGGCTATCATGGACATTGCTGCTATAAACATTGGGGTGCAGGTGTCTCGGCGTTTCAATGCATCTGTATCTTTGGGGTAAATCCCCAGCAGTGCAATTGCTGGGTCATAGGGGAGCTCTATTTTTAACACTTTGAGGCATTGCTTACTTTCAAGTAGCTTATACTCTTGTGTTATTGAACAGCTTATAGTTCCCTTAATTTTCTATCTTACTGCTGTCTCCCTTCATCGGTAATGCTTACTGTCCCACCTCCCCCCCCCCATCTAGTCATCACATATGTAAATCCTACCTACCATTCATAAAACACTATACATCCCTGGGCAGCCCGGGTGGCTCAGTGGTTTAGCGCCGCCTTCAGCCGAGGACCTGATCCTGGGTCTCCAGGATTGAGTCCCATGCCAGGCTCCCTGCATGGAGCCTGCTTATCCCTCTGCCTCTCTCTCTCTCTTTCTCTCTCTCTCTCTCTGTGTGTGTGTGTCTCTTGTGAATAAATAAGTAAATAATCTTAAAAAAAAAACACTATGCATCCCATAAAACTTTTCTTTATTAACCTTATGTTATTTTTCTAGGATTGCTGTAACAACCACAAACTTGGTGGTTTAAAACCATAGAAATTGAGTCTTTTACGGTTCTGGACCATGTTCCCTCTAGAGACTCTAAGGGATAATCTGTTTCTTACCTCTTTCAGCTTCTGTCAGCATTTGTTGACTGCTGGCATTTCTTGGCTTGTGGTTGTATCACTTCATCTCTGTAGTCATAATGCCTTCTCCATTTATGCGTGTTTCTCCCTTTGTTTCTGTTTTATGAAAATCCACATCATCGCATTTAGGGTCCTTTTGGATCCTTAATCACATCTGAAAGTTTTTTGTTTTTTTTTTCCACAGAGGGTATATTCACAGGTTCTAGGGATTAGAACATGTGTATCTTTTCGGGGGGGGGGCATGCTTCAACCTATCATAATTTCAAAGGGAAGTAAACTCTTCCTCTTCTAATCTTCTGTAGCTCTTTATCTTTAATGATTCTGGCTGCTTCTGAATGCCATCCCCCGCCTCCCTGCCTCCCTGCCACTAACCCATAAATTAGATTAACTGGACAAATTTGAACAAGGAGATTGAATAACAAGTTTAGAGTCAAGGAAAATAAAAATATATTTATCATGTTTAAAAATATTATACTAAAAGTCAGAAAAATCGTGATAGATTTTACTGCACATGGGCTATAAGGCCATAAAACACAGTATAGAATATACAGATGTATGTAATTTATAGCAAGTTCCAATGAGAAACTCACAATGTGCACTTGAAGGATTTTCGAGCATGAGAGAAAATGCAGCAGAGGTATATATAAATTTTGAAAAGCAGTTTCTTGCATACTACCAGTCCCTGAGAGAGATAGAGTGACATTGAGATACTAAGTGACATTGTGCCCACAACTGTCCTCAAACTGATTTCTGATAAATTAACCATGTTACAAACTTGGGCATGCTGAGCAACAATCTCATAAGATGAAAGTGGTACATTCAGAATTGGACACAAGTTGGACCAGAGGACAAATAAGTTGCATGACTATGTAGCTAGACTCCCTGTCATCCACTACTGTTGCCCAAGTGCCTCTCCCTCAGCTTACACCTCAGTGGGTGATCCCTTGTGATCAACTGGTGAAGGAAAAAATGAGCCCTCATTTGGTTTATGGACGAATTGGTTTGGTATTCCAGTTGAACTGTAACCCTAATTGGGTGGCCTTAGAAGAATAGTAGAATATCCTCCTATTGGGTAGAGCCTTGAGAGATGCGTCCTGTACTCCACTTTGTTTAAGCAATAGAGATAACCCAAAGTAAGAATACACATGGATCATGGGTTGAGGGCTAGGAGTGAATAGCTTGGCTGGTTGGTCAAGGACCTTGAAAGGACAAACATTGTTAGATTGGAAACCAGGAATTCTGAAATAGAGACATGAGAATGGGTACATGGGAGTGTACAAGGGGTGTAAACATCTTTAAATGGCATGGTAACACCCTCCAGAAAGCATCTAACACAGCAAAGGCACTAAGCAATGAGGTAGACTAAAAAGTTGTCTTGTTGACAGCCAGCATCCTGTCATTGCAGCTTGCTACCACAGCGAAGGCAAAGTAGGTAAACAAATGGATTAATGATGG